CCCCCCCCCCCCCTCCTCCCCCTGTCGCTTGGATTTTGGCAAAGTTGCCAGTCTTCTCTTGATTTGTTGTTTTCGATAAAATGCATGACAAATTGACACGCAATCGATCATAAAAAAGTTTCCTTATTCTTGATTTGATTCAGATTTTTAAAACTTGTAGTTCAATTAATTAGTAACCCCTTTGCTGAAGATTGCATCACTAATCCAGTTAGTTTTATTAAGATATTTACGTTTGAATGTATATGAGCATTTTGTATATGAAAATTTCAACCAAATCTTCTATATGAACATAACATTCAGATTACAAAAATCTCGCGTCTTATTGTGTAAAATAGCAAATAGAATAAAACGACACGAGCTTTTTGCAATTTGAAATGATGCGTCGAAAAAACTGCATTTGAATTTTTCAAATATGCATCAAAGTAAATTGAACCTTTAACCAAAAGCGCCAGCCCGTGAAACGTCAAAAATTGCTGAAACAGTCAGAGAGTGGTTATCTTACCTACTGACACGATTCTGGATGTTGACCTATGTAAAATATGAACTTTTATTATTGTTGCATAATGAGTTTGGATTCACTGGTTTCCCTTTACGAAAACGTATGGGAAAAACAAGAATTTTTAATGTTAATGGTTCTTAACAACCCATTATTTTAAAGGGCCAGTTCCAAAAAAATCATAATACATAAGGTTAAAACTTTATCACTCGAAAATGCATGTAAATTTCCATAACCTTTCCATTAAAGCTTAGCAGGGATTGTAAGCCATTTTTAACCATTTTTGGTAAAGTCAATTTACGGTTCTCTTTTATGTGGGTAGCGAGATGAGTCATTTTTACTCATTCGTATGGAGAAATTTCTTAAAGCAAAGACTATTCATGCTTTGAGTGAACTACGCTTTTCGATTTTTTTTTACCATACGAATGAGTTACAGCTACTCATAACTGGATAATAGTGACACTTTCTCTGAGTTAGTTTCCTTTTCAGTACCTAATTTTAAATGTTTTGTCGAAACTGAAGATGGCGTGCCAACACATTCACTACTTACCGCTAGATGCCACCCAATATGAATTGTACACGGCCGATTAAGCTAACTCAAATTTGAGTTTCGTTCCCTAATGGTGGTGAGCTTCAATCGGTATTATTCTCGGATTAAATCCCGATCAAGAAAATGCAGCCACTTTGATGTCAATATCAGAGCAAACATTTTGCAGATCATCCAAACAAGGACGGGATTTAAAGTTAATCCGAGTTGGAGCTTACCGCCATAAAAGTGTAGGTTACTCAGTCAGTGCTGAGTAACCTACACGCTATGTTTAGGCTACTCATTTTTGAGCCGAAAATCACTCAGTCTACACGCTATTTCAAAATTACCTAAATTTGGGAATAATCCACCCAGATCGGTCAAAACTGAACCAACCCAAAAATGGGAAAACTATGTAGGGAGGGACAATTTGACAAATTAACAAAGTCGATCGGATTCATGTCGATGTCATATGTGTATATATTACATATGTATATCATAGACAAACAGACATAATGCATTGACTATTTCTCACTGTAAAACATCGTCGCTAAAACATAACCGCCATCACTGTACACTGTACGTATATCTACACTGATAATTTTAACTATTCCCATTTTGCTTGAAATTTAATCAATTTGACATTAAACTCACTGAATGATTAAACATTAATCCTCTCTTTCCAAAAAATAAGCATCTGATATTAATCCCAGTTTAATCATGGTTAATTAGATTGTAGATTATCTTTTTTTGAATAAATTTTAATCATTTTTGATTCTATTTTAACAATTTTTTTTATTGAATTTTAATCTTTTTTGATTATATATCAGTATTGAAAAAGAATAAAATTGAATACTGGAAAGATTATTTCGAATTTAATCATGCATGACTACTGCCGAAATAATCATGGCTCGGACTCAATAAGGTGAAGCGGGAAACCCAACTAACAATTTTAGCTGCAGATTAGCTTACACAGCCAAAAATTGGCTTATACAGCTAATATTTGCCTGTATAAGCTAGTCTGCAGCTAAAATTGTTTGTTGGGAACTGTATACTTTTTAAGCTTTTTTGATTTAATTTATCTTTGAGTGTAAAGAATTAATTATTTCCTTTTCTTATATTTTCAAAGAAGGGAAAACCACTTGATCCATTAAGAAGTTTTTCTCTTCTTTTTATATACGCGAAAGAAGATTCCAGGAGTGACTATTATAAAAAAAAAAGTCAATCTAATACATGCCATACTTTTCTGGGGAATGGTACATTCTGGGGAATGCTTTTCTGGGGAATGGTGCATTCTGGGGAATAAGATAGGATTCTATAACATTCCCTAGAAAACCATTCCCCAGAATCTCATTCCCCAGAAAAGTATGCCATGTATTAGATTTACTATTTTTTGTTTATTATAGTCACTCCTAGAATCTTCTTTTGCGTATATAAAAAGAAGAGAAAAACTTCTTAATGGGTTGTAGGAGACCTTAATGGATCAAGGGGTTTTCCCTTCTTTGAAAATATAAGAAAAGGAAATAATTAATTCTTTTGATATTCAATAATGAAGGGAATATTCCCTTCTTTGAATATATAAAAGAGAACATCATTAATTCGTTAAATATATAATAAAGATGGGAATATTCTGTTCTTTGAAAATTTAAGAAAAGGAAATCATTAATTCTTTGGAATACTATAAAGAATGGAATATTCCTTACTATATATATATATTATGAAAAAGAAGGGAATATTCCCTTCTTTGAAAATATATCAAAAAGAAAGAATTAATTATTTGGATATACGATAAAGAAGGGGATATTCCCTTCTTTGAATATATAGAAGAGAACATCATTAATTCGTTAAATATATGATAAAGAAGGGAATATTCCCTTCTTCGAAAATATAACATGATGTACGATAAAGAAGGAAATATTCGTTTCTATTCATATATAAGGAACATATATAATCAATAGGCTTTCGCAAGGGATTCGGGGTAATGACTATTTGCGATAACAACGTGTGGAATTATGTTATAAGTTTGTAATCGATAGTTCTGTAATATAAAACTGATATATAATATCAAATGACCAAAAAAAAAAGTGATAAATTACTCATTTCATCATCTTTTCTGGGGACTGCTTTTCTGGGGAAAGGTGCATTCTGATTATAGATGGAATGTTATAGAATCGCTGATAGCTTTCGCCATCCAGGCTATCACATAGCTGCTTCGTCTCTAAAAACTGATTTTTGACTGACTGCGCAAAACTCGTCTGTACACAACTTCAAAGTTCACTATTTTGAACTAACGAAAAATTGATATCATAATCATTTACCCAGAATCTGGGTAGATTCCACCTAGAGAGGGTCTAGTATAAGAGAAGAGTGAATTCAAAACAAAATGCCTTGGCAACCTATGCCTAGGTGGTTTCTAGCAACACTGCCAATGCAATCAAGATAAACGCTAAACAACCAAGAGGAATTATATTAGAACGTTTTTTATGATTTAATGACTTCAATGGTAATGGTTATGGTAGTCAGTAAGGTCCATGAATGGTCTTGTAACATCGATCAACGATCAACTCTATGTGGAATATATCGCGAATTGGTTGTCTGTAAATTAATGATTACCAATTCACGATATATTCCACGTAAAGTTAACCGATAATACAAAACCATCCATGGACCATACTGACTACCATAACCATTACCATTGAAGTTATCAAATCATAAAAAAAGTTTCTAATATAATTCCTTTTCCGAAAATGTATGGAGAAAACAAGAATTTGGAATGGTAAAAGAACTATTATTTGTAAGATCCACTTCCAAAAAACCTTAATACATAAGGTTAAAACTTTATCACACAAACGTTCATGTAAAGTTCCATAACCATTTCAGTTAAAGTTTAGGAGGGATTATAAACAATTTGCAACCATTATTGGCAAATCAAAGTTGGCACGCGTGGAGAATAGAAGAACTATGAAAGTGATGATGGTTTTTAAATTTTCCACGGGGAAGTATACGAGTGCAATCTTTAAGTGCTTTTATTTTACAAATGGAGCATTTTATTTAAATCTGGTTAATGCTACGCTAGTAGAAAACTTAAAGAGTACTTAATAGACATATAATATAGAAGAAAAAAAAAATTTCTTTTCAGATTTTTATGTGTAGACATAGATTTCAGCTTTTCTACAACTGTAGCAGCAACCAGATTTAAATAAAATGCTCCATTTGCAAAATAAAAGCATTTTAATATTGCACTCGTATACCTCCCCGTGGAAAATTCTGAAACCATCATCACTCTCATAGTTCTTCTATTCTCCACGAGTGCCAACTTTGATTTGCCAATTGGTAAGGTCAAGTTGTGGTTCGCGTTTATGCGGGATACTCGCTCCCTGAGGAACATTCGTTTTCAGTGTACGTTTTTTTGAACTTGAGTAAACGGAACTCAAATATGATAAAGTTTCAACGGCCGTGCACGTTTTGCAAATTGAGTCGATTCAACTCAATTTTGAGTTGATCTCATCGTCCGTGTCATAGATAAACTAAAAGCTTAGGGGCATCCATAAATGATGTAGAATTTGAGAGGAAATGGGGAAGTATCAGAAGTTGTAACCGGCCATTATGAGATAAAGCAAAATACGCTACGAGGGGGAGGGAGGTCTAAAATTGGTAAAAGAAATAGGCTACGTCATTTATGGATTACGACTTTACTCTATATTTACATTTTTTTTTGCTTCACACTCACATAACGTTTTCTTTATCAATATTGCAAAAGGGCGAAATTGCTTTTATAAACATTGACTTTAACCATCTATGTTTTGTGATTAAAGGCTGAAACATGCAAAGTAACGACACCAACAGATAGAGGGATGTTTTCTCTACCAGCTTGCATTCGCAAATCGCCGAGTGAGCTTTTATTTGCGAGAAATCGGCGGATGAAGTTATTGTTTACAAAAACAGTTTCACCCTAATGAAATGTCGGCACCGATTTGACAATCCATCGCAATAAAGAAAAGGTGTCATTAGTTTAGTTAGTTCCCTTTTGTAGTTGCAGTCCTATTGCAGATGCCCTTTTCAAGGTAAGATAGTAGTCTTTGTTGATGCAATGAATCTATTACGAAATTTTTCACATTTCAGCCCATTTCCCATTTGAGCAGCACCAGCACATCTATCCTGTAGCCCTTCTTCCAGATATCTGCCTGTCCCAATATAAATGTCGAACAATCCATCTCCACCGTCACCATCTACATTTCCATCACAAACGACGAAAACAACTGAATCGACGGTCAATCATCCACTGACTGAATTAAATTGTGATTTAGCTAATAATGTTATTAGCTCGAGCTTCACCCATCAACATCAAAGAATAACATTCAACACATCCGGTGAGTGTATCTGGGCCACCCAGTATCCCGAGATCCAGAAAGCATGCTACCTCCGACGAGTTTGTCAATTCGCGCCACCGAAGGAGTTGCGTCTTCAAAATGTTACTCCAATTTTACAGGCAGGACCAACCTGTGGTCTAACGGCGCTCAGTATGCTCTTTGAAGGATCTCCTTCGGCTAAAACCTTTCTCGAACTAGCCATAGCCAAAGGGTATTCTAATAATGGTGAAATGTTCAGCACTAAGCAGCTAAACGAGCTGTTGACGATTGGATTGGATGAGAATCGACATTTGGTGGAATATAAACCGGTGGAACATCACGTTGTCGGAGGGTGGATGGACGAGCCAAGCATAAAGATGCAACTGAGACTTGGGTCAATCTTTTTGGTGCCGTATCCTTTTCAATGGTATATAACATACTAACATGCGTATCGTTTGTGTTGGTTTGTAGACAACAAATTTAGGCTTAAGTTTTAGTAGGGTAAGATGGGTAATTTACTTTATTTTTTTATTGTTAACAACTCCAATACTATCCCTATGACAGTCAGAAGCCCAAAATCGATTTTACTATTTAGAGTAAATTGGATAACTTTTGTAACCATCCTAATGCATACAAAAAGATTTTAAATTTTTATATGAGTAAAATACGTTCCGGTTTCGTCAAAATCATACCAGAACTGATACCGTTTGAGAACGCTTCAATGCAATGGATGATAAAAAAAAAGACTCACTGACAGCTACATCCTTTAAAATCGACCCCGAATAATCCTTAACGCTACTAAAACAGATACGATCCTGATCGAGATCATACCCCATGCCTAAACCGCGGCCATAAAGCCCATTGGGCTCTTATAATCGGGTATATGATAGACCAGTTTAATGATGTAAGTAATTCGCTAGATTTAGATATTGTTATTGATTTCAAATTGGTATTTCATTTCAGTTTTATGTATTCGCCCGACATGGAAAAACGAAAAACCTCGCATTATGGTCAATACGAAACTTGGCTCGTAGCAATGCAAATTTAGAAGAATTTTGTCAACCGGTTGGACATCCTAATGAGACTTTTATACTGCCGGAAGGCGGTATCGGCGGTTGCAATGGGCTAAGGTGTAAGTTCATTATGATCGAACACTACAGGGCAAAGGATGAAATTATTCTATAGCAGAGAGGAAGAACAGGCAGCTTCGCAGATTTTCCTAAGATGGATCGTGCTGAAAAGGGTCTGGATTGCTGCTTCTATTTATGGGTTCAAATAGTGTTACTAAGAGATGATTAATGCTATCAAATATTTATGAGTCAATTTATTTATTTATGTTTTCAGTTGGGTTCTGATATTTATTGTACCACAAATTCATAACTATTATTTTAACGCAACTTTTGTGACCAATCAAACAGTATTGAGAACAAAGTCACATTACTCTTTAGCACACAGCTATTTTTCGTGATCACTACTTTTTGTCATGTACCTACATGTTCAACGCTTTGTTAGTTTTAGTAAATAAATGGTTACGAAAGAGATCTGCTTACAATTTGCTTTCGTAACGAATTATAATCCCACATGGTTTTATTTCAAATTTCCGGAACCCTACACTCAAAATAATCCTCACGGCAATGCTACGCACTTTTCACGTAAGATTTATGTTATTCTCATTTGGAGGCATTCAATTCAGTGAGCTTCAACGTCACTGGATTATCACGAAGAAGTTATTTCGATAAAATTCATTGCAATGGTGTTTAATTCCGATTCGATTTAAATACAATGTATTCTTTATTTATCAATAGACAAAGATCCAATGTTCTTCTGTTATTATTTTTTGACAAAAAAAAAATAAATCGGCATTAAAAAGAGAATGAGTTAAAATGCGACCAAAACAAGGATCGTGAACACAAACAAAAAATATAGGTATTGGCCTATAACTTCATTGACCATGTCGTCATACGAAAACAGAGACAATTAATCAACATTGCAAAAGGTCGAAATTGCTTTTATAAAGATTGACTTTAACAGTCCATTTCTCGCGAATAAAAGCTGAAACATGCAAAGTAACGGCACCAACAGATAGAGGGATGTTTCCTCTACCATCTTGCATCGTTAATTTGCAGGAGTGAGCTTTAGTTAGAGCAACAATTGAAATAGGCGGAACAACCAAACGTAAACAATGGCTTTACGTAAATTTCTTGAAAACCTAATTACATCCACGCAATCTAACAACAGCTTCTGAAAGAGGACACTTCTTTTATCGAATGGCTTTGTTAATTTGCGTGGGTGTATTCTGAATCTCGAGAAATTTGCGTGTAGAGCCATTGTTTACGTTTGGTTGTTCCGCCTATTTCAATTGTTGGTCTAGTTATTTGCGAGAAATCGGCGGATGAAGTAATTGTTTACAAAAACAGCTTCGCCCTAATAAAATGTTAGCACAGAACTAAAAAAGGAACAAACTAAATCACGGTGGAATTGAAACTTCATACTATCCGAAATACAACTACTTTTTACAAAATTTTTACCTCAACAAGCTTTTCACACACATTTTTCCTTCAACCATTGCTAACAGCACTAACATTACACCTTCGATAGCGATCACAGTACACTGCACCCTTTTTATACGCTGTTTTTTACCCGATTTCTCGAAATAACGCGGTTTTTAAGCGATTTCTCAAAATAACACGGTTTTTTTTACGTGGTATCTATTTTTTAACGTTTTTTTTTTAATTGACACCTATGGGTAAATATCTTGTGATCCTGCCCACATCACCTTGGGCAAAGTTATTCAGGGGGTATGGCCTTTCTGTAGGTGGAAATATTAGTTTAGAATTATTTCACTACTAGGCAAGGTTACTTCCACTCACTTGCTATAAAAAAAATGTTTTTCGGAATTATGTAATCATGAGATATTATAATGCTAATTAGTACTTGTAAGTAACAAGAAGAAGTCATGAAGTATATGTTTGATACATAAAATCTGTCAATTTGGCTTTCAGTGCGTCACAATCAGCGATTTTACGACTCATGAGCGCTCACTCTGAGTGAACGCTCACGAATCATAAGACCGCTGATTGTGACGCGATCAAAGCGAAATTGGCAGGTTTTATAAGTCAAACACATACTTTACACCCTCTTCCTGTTACTTACAAGTGCAACATAGCATTATAAGCATAGCATAATTCCGAAAAATATTACATAATATTGGTGGTTTTACCACTGTAAACTGTTAGATTCCAAATCGATCCACCACACCCCGAGCTATGGGACACCGCGCAAAACCTTGTTTGTAAACTGGCCCTCTCAGAGCTCGACCATGGCACTATGGGTAATCTCCATGCAAGAGGTAGGCAAAAGGATGTTCATGCTTATGCTGCATTATTTCACATGTTTTGTATTAGTATGTACCTACATTACTCATTAAACATTATTTTGAGATCCAAAAGACGTCTAAGTTCTGCTAAATGTCCTGGAGTTAAGATCTTGAAGTGTTATAGGCTCAATGTGGTTTGATAAACACGATCCCGACTTATTCAATACATCATCCGAACTTTGTTAAGCATCGTGATTATATATGCATCATATAATGGCAACAATAAGATATTAAATGCTCTACAAACCATTCTGGAAATTAATCTTGAATACAGGCTCAATATAGTATTGAATAATGTCCTGAAAATATTTATAAATCCCTAAAGCTCAAAAGAGCCTCATGACAGCATGAGCGTCATATGTTGGTAATAATAAGATATTCAATTCAACTGGAGTTGCTCTTCTAGACATAGAAAAAGCATTCGACAGTGTTTGGCATGAAGGTTTGATTGCTAAATTGAAAAAGTTTAATTTTCCACTTTATATTATGAAATTAGTTCAAAATTATTTAACTGACAGAACTCTTCAAGTAAATTATCAAAATTCCAAATCTAATCGACTACCTGTTAGGGCAGGAGTTCCTCAGGGTAGCATTCTTGGGCCTATATTGTATAACATTTTCACTTCGGACCTCCCTGATTTGCCTCAGGGTTGCCACAAATCTTTGTTCGCTGATGACACAGGCATTTCCGCTAAAGGAAGAAGTCTTCGTGTTATTTGCAGCAGACTGCAGAAAAGTTTAGATATTTTCTCTTCTTATTTACAAAAATGGAAGATTTCTCCCAACGCTTCCAAAACTCAACTTATAATATTTCCACATAAGCCTAGAGCTTCGTTTTTGAAACCTAGTAGTAGTCACATAGTTACTATGAATTTCCTGGTCAAACCAAGTGAAATATCTTGGATTAATACTTGACCAAAAATTAACTTTTAAAGATCACATTGAGGGCATTCAAGCCAAATGTAACAAAATGTTTGTATCCTCTTATAAACAGGAAATCCAAACTTTGGCTGACGAATAAACTTCTAATATTTAAACAAGTTTTTAGACCGGCCATTCTTTACGCTGTGCCAATATGGTCTAGTTGCTGCACTACCAGGAAAAAAGCACTTCAAAGGATTCAGAACAAAATTCTCAAAATGATTTTGAAGTTGCCTCCCTGGTACAGTACAACCGAAGTACATAGAATTTCGAATGTTGAGACTTTAGCACAAATGTCCAACAAAATAATTAATAATTTCAGGCAAAAATCGTTGCAATCCTCAATTGCAACGATTAATTCCCTTTATACTTAGATAAGATTTAGTTTTAGTTTTTTAGTTTTAACGTATAATTGTTATACTGACATGCAGGTTAAAAAACCTGTTTAAAATACTGAATTGCCAAGACATGAACAATGTAAAAACACTTAGATATATATCATAACAATTAAGGCTGGTACGTTACTGCAGTAACTGGAGCACCTAGGTTAAAATGAAATGTAATTTATTTTAAATTTGGAACAAATAAAGAGTTAAAAAAAAAAAAAAAAAGATATTCAATGCTCTCCAAATTTCTGGAGTTAAGATTTTGAAGATTTCCAGGCTCAATTAAGTCTTGAACGCCCTATAAATCTTTATGAGTCCATGAAACTCAAGAAAGCTTCTGGACAACATGCAAATAGGTTTTTTCCCCTTTATTACCGTGATTTTTAGCCGTAGGCTAGTTCATCACGTCCATGCAAATAGGGATTAATAACAGTTTTTAAGAAATTATATTGAGTCTGTAGAACTTCAAGATCTTAGTTCCAGAATAGTTTGGAGAGCATTAATTATATCATTGTTACGTATATGCGTATATATAATCATGAAGCTTTACAAAGCTCGGATGATGTGTTGAATTAGTCGGGATCGTGCGTATCAAACCACATTGAACCTATAGAACATCAAGATTTTAACTTCAGGACATTTTGCAATCTTTTCTTTCTAAAGAGCCTGAATTTATAAAGAGGCGACTTATAACCATCCATTTGACAGGTCTTCTGCTCGATTGGAATGACTTTTCCTATGACTTTGACAGACAATCGATTGTTCCAATCTTGACATGTCGTCTGTGCGTTGCACATGTAAACGGAACCGGGGCGAAATTCAGCTAGGACGATCCAACTTGGCAAAACAACAAATTCCCAACCTACAGCGTCGGGGATAAAGGCAATAGGGTGTCCGGTATGCAAGTTGAACCGGTGTTCACACTAGATTACCACGGGTGGGGTCCAGTTGTTTTTTTTTTTATATACAGGGTGGAATCTGCTCACAGACACCTGAGAAGATAACTCAGGGTCCAGTTGTGAATCGGATCGATCGGACAGGACTCTATTGACCTTCCTGTTGGCTCCAGGCAACTGCTAGAATGTGGACTGTATGGGAGCGATTACCAACAGCAGCGATCGTGTGCTCCAGTGGCAATGGACATGAGGATGAAATTATGCTCGTTTGGTGATGGTTGAAATATTAATTTATTTGATGTTTCTCGTTGGCAGTTACAATAATAGTGATGCGCTTCGCGCGAAATGGTTTGCTTTAATACATTCTTCTCTGTATTCGTACCGCTGTGTAAAGTAGACTTCTTGTTCTTGCGTGGAACTGACGATACTGGGAGGAGTCTGCTTCGCTTCACAACAGTGCAAATCGTTTATGTAGGGGATTGTAGGGAAAATTAATACATCCATTAAACGTTCGGAACCGAACATCGTCTCTTTATAAATTCAGCCTCTTTATTTCTTTCCATCCCACTTGTATGCCTTCGCAGTGCTGCCATTTTTTTTTTAATAACATGCATCGGTCGTCAATTGTCAATCAGTCTGGACGCGTTTTTCAGTCGCTCCTATCCGCGTGCGTTTAAATTTCGTTTTATTTTTTTTATTTTTTTGCATCCGGGTGCCGTTTTGTGTTTTTTTTTTAATTTTGTTTTGTTCGATGCTTTACTCGTCGATATAAAAAAAAAAACAGCTGACGGCAACTGGAAGCAATAGTTCTACTGACAACGTTAGTGCTATTAAAAACCACATTACCTCGCTACTTGACATAGCGATGAAAGCTTCAAAAGAAAAAAAAATTCAAATTCAACGCAAACAATGACTTCAGGAATTTCTGAAGACCTAAAATATCTCAAGAACGAGCTAGCTGAACAATATCAGCAATATAACTTCTGACCTGTGCTC